AGTCTTTTCCAAGATTACTTTATAACCAGCAATGAGAGCACAGACAATAACTATGCAGATGGGATCACAGATTTCGCTGGTCTACAAAATCACCACAAGGAGCAACAAATAACCACAGGTTTATGTTCCAGAGCTTCACTCTGAGATATTCTAATGCTGGAAACAGAGAGCCAATCGATGTGGTGCATTTCCTAGTCATGGGGTAACCCCTGCAAGAGATTTGCACACTGTGAAAAAAAATCACAGAAATTAGATGTGCAAAATACGTTCTTTATTAAAATACATATGCACTCTTCGATTGCTCTGTGAGAAAGCCAGGCTTGTGAACAGAGCAAGATCAATAGTTTCTATACTGTGGCTATATCACAAATAGAAGCAAAATGAAAGAAAGAAGGATATAACGACTCAAATATTTGCAATGCTGTGATTGTGATTTGACAATCAGGATACTGAAGGGAAAAATGTCCTTTAACCACATTCTTCTTTTTCCAGTCCTGGTTTGAGGGACTAGCTTTCACAATCATTGGGGCTTAATTTATGCAAACCTGATTGATTGCCTCCTCACCTATGCTAATAATACATCTAGAGCACAAAAACAGGCAGTGGGTAGTAGGAACTACCGGGGATAAAGCAAGCAGAGTTTTTTTCTCCTGCCTGCCTGCCCTGCCTTTCGCCTTGCAGCTAACAAAGATAATGAGTAACACTGATATTAAATAGGGATTTGGGAGCTTTCTTTTTTGGAAACTGGATAACACATTACAGCAGATAGGAAAATCCATCAGACTTTATTTAACTGTAACATTTATTAAGAGGAGTCTAAAAGGTCAGTTCGGAGCTTGTGGCATCTGGGCTAAACTCCTTTCCCCAGCCCTGAAAGCGACAAGAAAGCAGATCCTTTAAGATGCAACTATCTTAAGCTCCCCTCCGCTGTTTAAACTCTTGGTAATTCTAGGTTTTGGAGACAAACGTCAAAGCAGAGGGCTCTTCCCTTCATTATTCAAGTAAAGGCCCCATCAATATTATCTGTAATAAGAATCTGCTGTTGACATGGCTCACCCTGCAGTTCCTGTTCCAGGCAGCAGCTTCTGTCAATAGGATTAAAGTGAAGGAATGCCTTTGACAAGTCCACTGGCTGCTGGTTCACTGCTGCCATCAGGCTGCCAAATTGAAAAGGCATTAGGCACATTTGTGGGTGGAGAGGAGGGCAAGCAGATTTGGCTCTTCTCCAAAGTGGGGTGGGGTGGGGTGCTGCATCAACCTTAAGAGTTCACTTGGACTTTTCGGCCTGTGCGGGCCAAGCCATTTAGCCCTTATCAAGGTCCATGCTGAAAAAACAACATCCTTGATGCAGCAATGAGGGACAGGTTCCCCCCTGTCTCCCCATGTCAGCAGGATGCGGGGCCTATAAGGCCGAACAGCACCTTTGTAGTCAATAGAGCGACACCCAGAGTGAATGGAACCAAGCCAGCTGTAAGTCAGATCTGTGACAAAGAGTATACATTTCTCTCCTAACAAGTAGGCTCTGCTTCAAGGTTCCACCTAGCCATACAGTACCTCCTTGCAGAATTCTCCATCCAATCACCCCACCTTCTTCATTCTGTTATCCATTTTTCTTTTCTTATTGATTTTGGGGTTCCTGGGGTTCTTGTATGCTTTGGCTAGGCATGTTGAGAAGTATTTCTTTTAGTTCTGCAAACCTTAGGATTGCCTTGAGCATCTAGACCCCTCCCAATTGTTGATCAGAGGCCTTGCTTTGACCCCAGTCTTGTTGGCACTCACCACTTTAGTTTGCATTTAGAGGAAGCGATTATTTTCAGAACTTACTAGGACTTTATGAGCTGGCTGGAAATTCTGAAACTTTTGTAACCCCTGCAATAACGGCTCTGCTGTGATTATTTCTAATCAATCTTTTCCCATGCGAGCACAGTGTCCGAACAGCAAAGAGACTATAGCCTGTTTCTTCACATGTATCTGTAGTCTGCTACAAAATTCTTCAGAACAAGTGGGATACATTCCACTGTTACCGGATACATGTCCAAAAAAAAAAAAAACTTTACTGGATACATGTCAAAAAAAAAAAACCAGTTAAACTTTAAGGTGCCACAAGGTTCTTAATTTTGTTACTGTTTAAGTTAATGCAGTTACCCCCTTGAAACATATACAGAGGGATGCCCTTAATTTCCCTCTGAGGAGAAGAATCAGCACGCAATACGTAAGACTTATGGATATGGACTGGTCATGTCTGGATCATGTCTTTCAGCCTGCTGGACTGCCCACCTAACCAAGTGTCTTAAATTTATTTATTTATTTATTTATTTATTTATTTCATTTCATTTCATTTCATTTCATTTCATTTCATTTCTATGCCGCCCAATCTCCCAGAGGTCTCTGGGCGGCTCACAACAATTAAAGTTCAATACAATAAAAGATAAAATGATTAAAATACCATTAAAATACAATTAAAATTGCCATCATCAGGACCCACAGTTGATGTTATTTCAATTAAAAGCCTTCTGGAACAGGAAGGTTTTGACCTGGCACCGAAATGTCATCAACGTCGGCGCCAGACGAATCTCAGTCGGGAGGGCATTCCATAGTCTGGGGGCAGCTGCCGAGAAGGCCCTTTGTCTACAAGCCCTCCCTCTTACCTCCTTGAGGGATGGCTCTTTCAAAAGGGCCCCCTGGCTAGATCTTAACTGCCGGGTAGGCTCATATGAAATTATGCAGAAAAAAGAGACTGAGGTTTAAAGCGTTCTGCTTACAACAGAGATAAGCACTGGAAGCAGCTAAAGGTGGAATCTGTGCCTAAGTGAGATGCATAACCAAAGATATGATGAAATGTCACACCAGTGAGGGTACCAAGAGGTTTCAGGCTCCTCCAGTTGTTTGTTCTTCTGTGAGGTAAAGGCACTGATCCTGGCTTTTCTGCTTCCTGATTGCTTCCCACAACAACCCTGCAAGAGAGACTGGCCTAAGGCTACTCATTGTTCTGTCTCAGTAGAGACTAGAATCTGGATCTCCCAAGACACTGTACTGGTAATGGTCTGGAAATCTTGTTGGGAGCATTATAAACAAGAGGAGTGCTTACTGGAGATATATTAGCACCTAGCAGGATATGAAGTATGTTCACAGTGCACAATTCCTGTTTGTGCTAACTCAAAAGCAAACTGCACTGATTTCAAAAGAATTTTCTCCCAGGAAAGTATGTACATTGCAGCCTCAGGATGGACACTTCCCAGATTAGATTAGATCCATATTAGATTTCCCAATTCATATGCAGACTTTCTTCTCAAATAGATCTAGACTCCAGCTACCCATGTTATACGTATAAAAAGTATACTGTACTTCCACCTGTTTTTATCTAGAGGGATCTTACAAGTCTGTGAAACAATAAAACTAACATCAACAACAAAAGGAACATTGTGTTAAATTCAGAAAATTGTCAAATGAGTTCCTAGGTGAACTCAGTTCCTTTGTATTTCACCTTGTCGTCGTTGTTTAGTCATTTAGTCGTGTCCAACTCTTCGTGACCCCATAGACCAGAGCACGCCAGGCCCTCCTGTCTTCCACTGCCTCCCGGAGTTTGGTCAGATTCATGTTGGTTGCTTTGATGACCCTGTCCAACCATCTCATCCTCTGTCGTCCCCTTCTCCTCTTGCCTTCACACTTTCCCAACATCAAGGTCTTTTCCAAGGAGTCTTCTCTTCTCATGAGATGGCCAAAATACTGGAGCCTCAGCTTCAAGATCTGTCCTTCCGGTGAGCACTCAGGGTTGATTTCACCTTCTAATCTGGGTCATTTTGTAGTCCCAGATGCAGTGACCAAATGTCTAGGGCTAATTACAGAAAATGGATACAGTAAGTGTTCATTATGTTCCACTTGCATTCTGTGTTTTAACCAAGACATCCAGGGTGTTGGTGCAGACACTTTCATTTTTCTCATGCAAATTGTGAAATATGGTGGCAGACATTTTGTCTAGCAGAGTGAGATAAATCGAGAGATGAGCTGAAGGGCAACAAGTGTTAAAGCACAGATACCTTTTTTTTGAGAAGAAGTCAGAGGTAATAAATTTTCAGAAACATAAACATTGTTATCACTGTTCATTCGGCCAGATATCCTCTTTTAGGGAGGACAGTCCTCTGTTTGAAGGGCTCTCCGGTCCAAGTCTGACTTATAAATAATGAAACATAAGAAGAGTGATTGGGAACTGTGAAGTTGCCAACACACTATCAATGCATCTGGACAACAGGTCAAGAAGCACATCAATGACCTGGCTAGTATGCCCTACTTGTGCTAGGTGCATTGTAACTCTATTTATAGTCTAAAAATAATTTCTAATTTTGCATCGCTAGATCTTATTTAGCAAACATAATTTTATGTAAATCACTGTCTTTTGTCCTTCTCCTCCTCAGTGATATGTATCATCCTTTTCATATGGCCACCCTGCAGGTGCTACACCTGATGGAAGAAAATCTCTGAGATAATCATATCTTTATGTTTCAGTTTCTTTAGTAGAAATTGCAAATGCTGCACCTAGTCTGGATCTACGCAGCATAAGAAGAGGGTGGGGTTACTGTCAACACAAAGTAAGATGACAAAAGAAAAAAAATCATCACATTACCAAAGTAATAAATTGAACACCAATGAAATTTTTCAGAGTCAGGTACTCTTGTTCATCATTACAGTTGGTTCAGCTGTGGCCTCCTCCAAAACACACTATCCCTTTTCCAGCCCAGTTTTTCATTTGCCCCAAACAGGCAATTAGGGTTCCATGATTATGCTAAATCTTCATTGGCTATCTTGAGGCATCCTCCACCCCCCCTTTTTTTTGTACGTAAGGAAAGGTTGGCGTGCTGAAATCTGCAAATACTTCCTTTTTGTGTGTAGATAGTGCAGTTTTGGCAACATAACCAAGGTATAATGAAGATCCCTGTGGTGGAATGCCCAGATCGCACCTGTCCATCATGTGGAGCTCTAGAGCTGGAGTCTATGAGAGGACAGGAGGGCGGAGTCAAGGGGACAGTTAAAAACAGTTGGGAGACTGAGAGTGAATGAAGGAGGAGGTTTGAGAATTTTATTTATTTATTTATTTATTTATTTA